GATACTCTCGTAACGCACTGGAAGGCTGCATGCCTGGAAAAATGGTCGCGGGCCTGGTTGTCATGTGTCTAATTGTGTGAAAAGTGTTGAAAAGCTTCGTCTCACTCTCTCCTATCACATTGTTCCGGACCACGCCGTAAGCACAGTCCTAGGCCCCGGAAATCAGAGAGCATCTGTGCTTGGTGGAAGTTGCCATGCGCCCCAGGATCCGTGTCACTTCCAGGCCCTGGACCCGATGTTTGTTGGTCACCTTGCGGTGACTGTCCCTCTGTGTGTACCTATACATGCGGGGTCGGGCAGGGGGACGTTGTTGGAGCCACTGAGGCGAGGTGATGACTCTGTTGGAAGGAGTGTAGTGGCTGTTTTGGGGATAATGCCTCTGTGGAGCCTGTTGCTCAGAACCCCCCTGGATGCAGCTGGGGCCGTACTTCCTGCTGGTCTCCTTAGGAGTTATTTCACCCTCTGGTCATGCCCCAAAGCTGCCGGCTGTGGGGCCAGAGATCAGAGGTCAGGCTCATGCTGGAACCTTGCTCTGCCAGTCTGTCCCTGGATGCAGGCCAGAGTCCAGGACGGCGTGTGTCCATGTGGGGGGTCAACTTCGGAAGGTGGAGGCGCTTGCCTTCCGTCCTCTGGCCCAGAATGGGCTCATATACGATGGCGGATGCAGGAGTTTAAATCCTTAGACTCTTGAGACGGAGAGAAATCCCCAGCACCTTTCCGGGAGACATGGTGCTGGTGTGTGTGTGTGTGTGTGTGTGTGTGTGTGTGTGTGTGTATGTGTGTGTGGTGGGCATGTGGGGTGAGAATTGAGGAGGACCAGTGATTTCTGTGGTGTTTGCCATTTTAACCTAAATCCAAGGTGTAGTGCATGTGGCAAAGGATCCGGAGTATTGGGGAGGTAAGTTGAGGGGGAGCGAGGCTGGCAGGACAGGGAAGAATGCAGCTGAGCTGAGAAGCAGAGTGGCCGGGCTCTCACCGATGACCCCACACCCCTCTTCCTGAGAGGAAGTGGGCTGGCTGTCAGAGGTACAGGCAGTGGCGGGAGCTGAGGCCAAAGGAACTCCCTGGCGGCCCCGCCCCGGGTGCGTTGTCCGTGTCTTGACTGCCTCACGGCTCTTCACTTTGTTGATGTTCTTGGAGAGGGAGGGAGGGTGGTCCTGAGAAGCCGGCTAAGCGGAGAAGAGGCCACAGTGCAGGTTCCATGAGCTCGTGTGGTTCACCTTCCATTTTATTCTACGACTCAGTGATGAACCTCCTGTTGGTAACAAGCTGGTAACCTCCGTAAACCTCACCATGCTTTGTGGAAGCGAAGGAGCTAAGTAATTTTCCACCAGCTCACGGAAAGCCAAGAATACAACCCAGGCCCGAGGGGCTCTCTGTCGGAAATGTGTTTAACAGAAGCTGAGAGTGAGAATTAGCATAGAAATTACACAGGATTAGGCCGACTTTTTGTCCTGATCTAAGGAGAGAGGAATTATGTGTCCAAATGACACCTGTCCGTCACTCTCCTCCCTGCAAGTGGCATCCCGTGGCCTTCTCTGTGTGTCCTCCTGTCTTCTCATGGGACTCCCTATGGGATGTAAGAACCTCCTGATCCAGTGTGACCTCATTTTAACTTCTGCAAAGACCTCCTGGAGGGCCTGAGTTGTGGCCCCTCAAAATCCAAGTGTTTGAAGCCCTGAGCCCCAAAGTAATGGTATTTGGATATAACACTTTTAGGGAGATGATTAAGGTTAAGTTATCAGAGGTCAGAGGGTGGCCCCTAATCTGTAAGACTGGTGTCTTTATACGAAGAGGAAGGGGCCCCAGAAGAAGGGCCAGGAGGACACAGCAAGAAGGTGGCCACCTGCAAGCTCCGAAGAGAGGCATCACCTGCTAGCGTCCTGATTTTGGACCTCCAGCTTCCAGAACTCCGAGAAAATAAATGTCTGTGGTTAAGCCCTCCACCTTCCCCTCCCACAAGTCTGTAGTATTTTGTTTCGGCAGCCCTAGCAGTCTAATACACCTCGTTTTCAAATAAGGCCCTGTTCTGAGGTTCCTGGTGGACATGAATTGGGGGTGGGGGTGGGGGGGCACCATGGAACCCATCATGGGGGCATATTTAGCTTTCTGTGGCCTGACTTGAGTTAGAAACAGATGCAAACTGTGGGGAAGCTGTGCTGCATGGACCACATCCTGACCGTCTGGGCCAGTGGTCACTGGGCTCTCTGCATAGGCTGGTGTCCTATGTGGCCTGGCCATTGCCCCTCGGGATGCTCAGGCTCTCGTCATTCTGTGCTAATCTGCTGTGATGTTCACTAAGGAACCTGAGCTCTCCGCACTAGAGTGTTCTTCCTCTCTTTAAAGGGGGAGGCTCAGCAGTTCCCCCTGGGTGGGACCAGGATGCTCAGCATCAGGGCAGGGCGAGAGGTGGGGGCAGCAAGGATGGCTTAGGGCGTGTTGCACAGGGATTTTGATAAGCCTATGTGCCTCCTTGGTGGAGAGCCATCAGACCACGTGGCACCTGGGGCCTCTTCCAGCCTAAACTCCTGGAGAGAGCGATCCTTCTGGGTCTTCCAATCCTGCTTTTATTTTTCCTGTTACCTAATCTCTTTTGGAATGTGCTGGACGAGAAAGAGAGAGAGAGAGAGAGAGAGAGAGAGAGAGAGAGAGAGAGAGAGAGAGAGAGAGAAAAGGGGAGGGGAGGGGAGGGGAGAGGGAGGGGAGAGGGAGGGAGAGAGGGAGGGAGAGAGAGAGAGGTGGGGGGAATTTGAAACTCCTTTTTATGCTGATTAAGCCAACGACTTAATCTCATTGTTTTGATTTTTGTCTGGGACGGGAGGCTGATGGTATAAAACCTACACATTCCGATTGTTGCCCATGAAAGGCACAAAGTTCTTAAGTTGTTCTACACCACGGAATGGCAGACATATTTTTGCTCTTGGTTTCTGGCCCTGGGATGGCTCCTACGACATAAGTGAAAATGATAGAAATGTGAAGTTATGTAAATGACTTGCCAGCCTTCCAGTCTAGCTTTCATAGTTCCAGAATAAATGTCAGGGTTTAGAACGCGGGGTTATTTTTAACTGGGGTAGAAGGCAGAGAGAGAATGGCATGTTTTGAGGCAATTTTATTCCTTTATGAAGAATTCAGATCATAATTTATATTTCCCCAAGGACATCAACTAATTGAAAGGTTTGGGAAAGCTGGGCGTTGGGTGGGAGGGCATCTCCGTCGTGGTTCAGCATCAAGCAGTGAGGTGGCGGGTACACAGCCCTGCGTGTCTCAGAACCCATAGAAGCCACACCGCAAAGGATGAACTTCACTGCATGTGGATCTCAGAGCCTCTATTCCTCCATCAATAAAATGGGAATCACGATCTTCTCAGGATGGGTGGTTGAATGGACAGATGATCCTTCCTTCATTCATGCATGCATCCCTATGTTCATCCATGTCCAAACGAGAAGTGGTCAGTTTTATGAAATGCTTCAAGGAAGTCAAGGAAGACGAGTGACAGGTTCCCCTGGGCCCATGGAGTTGTGGCCTGGGCCTCTGCATGGGCGGGATCTGGGCTCTCAGCGGAATTGACCTACAAGATGCAATGTGGCCACAGCTGGTTTGGCTCAGTGGATAGAAGAGTCCCAGGTTCAACCCCCATCAAGGGCACATGCCTGGGTTGCAGGCTTGATCCCTGGTTGGGGGCATGCATGAGTCAGCCAATCAATGACACTCTCTATCATTGATGTTTCCATCTCTCCCTCTCCTTCCTCTCTGATGCCAATAATATATATATATATATATATATATATATATATATATATATATATTTTTTTTTTTTTTTAAAGATGCAATGTGCCCTTTTTATTTTCAAGAACATGACTTCTTGTCATGACCCCTGAGCTTCCGGACGTGCAGAGCCTGCTCCTTGTTGTGTGCCTGTTGTGGATGAAATACTCAGGTGACAAAGGCCTGATGTTGGGTGGGCTCCCATCCTGGGTTCTCCTCTCACCTGTGCCAATCCTTGACTCCTTAGCCTCTCAGAGCCTCTGTTTCTCCATCAGTAAAATCTTCTATTTCTCTATCAATAACAATCTTCTCAGGACGGACAGGAGACATTGAAGGGCTTGGAAATTGAGTAACAGCCTTCAAAACTTGACTTGGGTGGCACTCTGTCCATGGGCTTGCCACCTGCCCCACCTGCCCAAGTCAGTGACCCCTTGGTCAACCCTCACCAGCACAGCAAGCTTCTCATGGTCTCTTGGCCATTTGTACCCCCCATCACCACCAGCCCCTCAGGACCCAGTGCCTAGCCCCGTGCCTGGCACCTAGGAAGTGCTCAAGAAACATACGTGTGCATATAAGCCTAACCAGTGGTCACGGACCACAGGGGGTGGACATACGTGGGGAGGGGTTTGGGATGGGAATGGGGGGATGAGGACAATTATGTGATACCATAATCAATAAAGAAATTTTTTTTAAAAAAAGATACATGGACTTGCCACCCCCCATTTCAGAATCAGGGTGCTTGCCGCTCTCTGAACACGGTGGCGTCTGTGAAAGGGGGATCAGCCCCGAGATGAGGGGCTCGGGCCGGAGGATGTCCCGTTCGCATGGGGATCTCTCCCGCCTGCTCGCAGAGCGAGGGCAGCACCTGCTGCTCGGAACAAAGGAATGCGTCTGGAGAGCGAGCAGCCATGTTGGCGAAAGGATAGCCCTTGAAAGGGCAGCGCTGACTCAGGTTCCTGAGGTGGAAGGTGTCACCACGGAGCTCAGTGTGTCGACCGAAAGGTCAAGAGTGCCCAGAGTGGTCTCGTGGGTGCAGCGCTAGAGGACGTGGCAGCTGGTGTGGGAGGGGGTGGCAGACGCTCTGGTCCAGGGATCCGGGGCTTCCTCTCCGCTGTCTAGGATGACAGTGGAAGGAAAGACCCCGCCTCTGCTCCGTGGCCCTGCACACAGTCGGGGGAGGAAGACGCCTGGGAGTGAGAGAGTGCGCTAACACGGCGTGTCCTCTTGTCTTCCAGCCATTCACGAGTTCCCCACAGACCTGTTCTCCAACACGGAGCGACAGCACGGAGCCGTCCTGCTGCACATCCTCGGTGTAAGTGGCCCTCCTGGGGCGGGCGCTCCCCCAGGCGAGGCAGGTGGGGCCGGCCCTCAGAGCACGGCTGAGCCACGCGTGCCCAAGGTCACGTGCAGCCCTTGTCAGAGCCCGTGAGGGGGGCAGATGCTGGACCCACAAAGGAACAAAGTCAAGGATGAGAGGTGACTTGCTCCGTGTCACAGAGTGAGAGGCCCGAGCCAAGACTAGAATCTGAGTCCTGATTCCTCAGTTTTTGCTTTTCTAAAACGGGCGTGACAGCATCTTTCCCAGACTTGCAAGCGGGAATGAATGTAGACCTTGCCTGGCGCATCATAAGTGCTCTGCGCGTGCTTGCTGCCCGGATTCCCCCCAAATTTACCACCTTGCACGGCTGTAGTGTAAGACTCCAGTGCACTTCTCAGACTTTCCTCTGTACTCAGAGGGGTCTTGGTGCCAAATGGGGGTGCTGAAGTAGCAATTCAAAAAGGAATCATGGGTTCAAACCCATGTGACAGGTGAAAGTCGCTCTCCTTGGGTTTGAGGTAGGCAAACCACAGCCTGTGGCCACTGCCCGTGTTTGTAAATAAAGTTTTATTGGAACACGGCCGTTCATGCCCATTCGTTTCTGTGTTATCAACGGCTGCTTCTGCTTCGGTGGCAGCGCCGAGGAGCTGTGACGGAGACTCCATGTCCGTGGAGCCTCAAGTCGTTAGCTCTGTGTCCCTCGGCAGAGAAGGCTTGCCAGCCCCATTATAGTATGCAGGCGGCCACGTTAGATCAGACACAGCCCGTTTTCCTCTTGATTAGGTTCCCGGCCGCTCAGCACCATCTGCTTAGATATTCAAACCCGACCAGAGAGTAGTCTCTGCAAGAGATAATTAAGAAAGTAAAAGCTGGGATTCTCACATTGGTAGCAGCCAGCCGTGGGTAATGAATGAGTGAAGTTTTAATTAACAGGATGCACTGTTAATGGAAATGAAGGTTAGAATGAAGATCGGCGGCAGAGTTTGAGTGACAGGCCTGTATATTATTTCTGTAATAGAGTTATTATCTCCCTAGTTTCTCTGTGTTTTATTTTTTGGGTTTTTTTTTTTTTTTTCATGCATTCCCCCCTTTTTCACTAAGAGAGTGTGAAGTAAACTCTTAGTTTTGTTGCTCTGCCTTACATCTTGGCAATGCCGAACAAAACCTGGAACCTCAGAGCCCCTCGGGAATTTTGCAGGAACTCAATAGAGCAGGGATTGCCAGACCGTGGCTGGCGGGCTCATTCCAGCCCACCTCCTGTTTTTATAAATAAAGTTTTATTGGAACACAGCTATGGGCATTCTATGGCTGTTTTCCAGCAATAGAGTCCTCAAAGCCTAAAATACTTACTATCTGGCCCTTTAAGAAGAGGTTTACTGATCCCTTTTTGGAGGAAGCAAAGACTCCAGCTTTAGCGCCAGATTCAAGTGATGGGAGCGGTAGCCCCTCCTTGGCCCCCCTTTCTCTCCAGTGTTCCGAGATCGCAGGGCAGCAAGAGCCTCTGGCCTCGCAGAAAACCTTTTGCCTGGGAGACAAAGTTGGGGGAATCCCTGGAGGTGTCAGTTCAAGTCAGAATCCTGAGATTTGCAGTGGGATCTCTCCCACCTCACTCTCTTCCTTCAACTGTACCCCCCAGTATTTGTTTCATCTTGCTTCCTCCCAAAGATAATCAAATCCAGGACAGCCACACCTGGACGGCCGTGGACACCTGCCCCCGATGCCTTGGCCACAGCTGATGTGCCTCCCGTTTATTTTACTTGGTCGTAGCTAAGTAGCTGTGAAGTGTCAGAGTGTGGCACTGCTGCAGGTGGAGCAGCCAGGCTGGCCCTCCTTGGTGCACGAGGCATTCATATCACGTTCTCTTTGAGGAAAGAAGAGGCTCCCCCCGGGGCTGAGTGGAAAGTCCCATTTCTTTCCTGTGGGTCCTCACCCTTGCCTCTCCCTCCAGCCTCACCTCCTCCATTTCCCACCTCACTCCCTCTGTGTTCTACCCGCATCCATCTACCTGCCGTTCCTGACCTTTGCGCGTCCTCTTTCCTGGCAGTAAGAGATGCTTTATTTGCCTGTCTGTCCCCCGCTAAGCTACGTGACAGGAGGCAGAGGCCTTTATTGGTGTCCTCACCGTGCGTCCCTGATGCCGAGCGTAGTGCCCGGTACCTGGGTGGGCTCAGTAGAGCGTTGGGTGGACAGGGCAGGGGAGGGGTTCTGGATGGAAAGCCATTCTGCAATGATCTGTCCTCACTCTGTCTTTAAACAGAGGCAGACACTGAGACCTGGAGGGGTAACTTACCCAGAGTCACTTGGCACATAAGTGTAAGCAGCAGCATTAGAACCCAGACTCTTTGTTCCATGAACCTCTCCTTGTCAGGGACTTGTGCCAACACCAAGTAGCACCCTGGGGAATGCCAGAGCTCAAGGAAATGGTGCCTTCACTAAAGGAAAAGCTGGATTATCGTTTTTAAATTCTTTAAATGGTGATTTAAAGACACTTTTTAAAAACATAATTTATTGATTTTTTACAGAGAGGAAGGGAGAGGGATAGAGAGCTAGAAACGTCGATGAGAGAGTAACATCGACCAGCTGCCTCTTGCACACCCCCCACCGGGGACGTGCCCGCAACCAACGTACATGCCCTTGACTGGAATCAAACCCGGGACCTTTCAGTCCGCAGACCGACGCTCTACCACTGAGCCAAACCGGCTTTGGCTGATTTAAAGACATTTTTATTGATTTCAAAGAGGAAGGGAAAGAGAGAGATAGAAACATCAACAATGAGAGAGAATCATTGATCAGCTGCCTCCTGCACGCCCCACACTGGGGATCAAGCCCGCAACCTGAGCACGTCCCCTGACCAGTAATCGAACCGTGACCTCCTGGTTCATAGGTCAGTGCTCAACACGGAGCCCTCCCAGCCAGGCTGACAATGGTGATTTTAAATGCTTTCCCTCAAAGGTTCGGTGTTGCCTTTCGAGGGCATGCTCTGTGCTGGGAGAGCTGCTGCTTTAAGGCGAGGGACAGAACACGAGGCCCTGTAGCCTGGGTTTCAGTCCCCTCTGCCACCCAGCAAGTGCTTCTCTCTGGGCCTCAGTTTTCTATTTTGTCAGTGAGGGAATTGAGGGAGTTGGTCGCTGTGGTGCCGGCATTTTCCTCTAAGCCTGCCTGTGTGCCCGGCCTCTGCCCGCAGGCCGGTTTGGGTGTGATGGATGCCCGGCCATGCCCTCTCGGGGGCAGGTGCCCTCTCTGACTCTCTGTTCCGCTCCCCCCGCAGGCTCTGTACATGTTCTATGCGCTGGCCATCGTGTGCGACGACTTCTTCGTTCCGTCCCTGGAAAAGATCTGCGAGGTGCGTGGGAGAGACGTGGGGCCTGCGGCCAAGTCTGGGAGGGGGTGGGGGTGATGGAGGACACAGGGCACATCGATGCCAGGCCAAGGGGGACCAGGAGCGCCTGGCAGTGCAGCCTGGCAGGCCAGTCACTCAGTGTCGCCATGGCAAAGCCTCACTCTGAGACACTCAGACTAGAGTTTGCGGGCTGCCCGCATCCTTCCCCAGACCGGGCAGAAGCAAGTGCTCCCAGCATGTCTGGCTCCCAGGCAGGCAGGCCAGCTGGCTGCCCACAGTGAAGCCAAACCTGGTGAATTAGGGAGCATTTGCCATAACCAGGTGGCAGAGGCAGGTGCCAGGTGGGGATCTGTGTCCGGGGGGAGGAGGCGGAGCTGCCAAGGCAGGGAACACCCTCTGTCCCAACCATTGCAGATTGACATTTCCTCCTTTCAATTGTTCTGTTAAGTTTTCGCTTTTCTTCTCTGTAGCCGTACACAAGACCCCAGTCTGTTTCTATCCTGCCTCAGTCTTGGCTTCCAGTCAAGGAAGGAAAAGCACCTACTATGTGCAGGCTGCTCAGGGCTTGGCCACACTTTACCCACATGAAATCTCCCAGCTTTCTGAGGCCGTATTGGTGTGACCTTCACAGCTGGGGGCATGGTTTGTTAGGGGCGGGCACTTGGGTACTTTACCCAGGTGCTGAGCAAAGATCAGGGACTGGCTCCATGACTTGGATCCCCTAAATAATGAGTGGCCCGGCACAGGTATGCAAAGGCTTTGTCTCCCCTCCCCTGGTCCCCCTCAAAGGGAGCCACGTGCTCACCTCCAGGTGGGGGAGGGGTGGAGTTCTGGATTGAGGGCCCAGAAGAGCAGCTGAGGCTGAGAGTGTGTGCTGCCAGGGGAGGAGCTGAGCTGGCTCCACGCTCTCCCTGGCTGCCGAGGTGTCCAGTCAGTGCGTCCCCCGCCCCCACGTCTCAGCCTGAGGGTCTGCGGTCATTTCTCTTTCAGAAACTCCATCTGAGTGAAGATGTGGCTGGAGCCACCTTCATGGCTGCCGGAAGCTCAACGCCGGAGCTGTTTGCGTCTATTATCGGTAAGAAATCCCACCAACCAGAGACACAGGATCTGGAGAGAGCCCAGGTGTGGTGCCCTGACAAGTCAAGGCATTTGTCAGCTCCTGGCCTCGGTTTTCTCATCTGTAAAACGGGGGAGTGGGAGAGACAGGAAGTACATTAGTGGTTCCCAGGGGTTGCACCACTAGTGGGTGGGGCCTGGGTGCTAATGGGTACAGGGCTTCCTTTTGGGGTGATGAAAATGTCCCCAAATTAGATCGTGGTGATGGTTGCACAATTCTGTGACTATCCTGCAAAACGCTGAATTGATACTCTAAACGGGTGAATTTTATGGCATGTGAATTACACCTTAATAAAGCGGGTCAAGAAAATGGAAGAATCAGAGTAGCTGGTCTTTCAGGGCATTGAGGGCGTTCTGTTTGATAGCGGGAAACAGCTCCCCTGGTTTGGGGGGCAGGGGGCAGTCAGGGGACACAGACCTTGCAGCCGGCCTGGGTGTGCGGACGGGGCGGGCCTGGGCCTCGCAGGCGAGGATCCATCCGTGCCTTTCCCTTGCAGGCGTGTTCATCACCCACGGAGACGTCGGGGTCGGGACCATCGTGGGCTCCGCCGTGTTCAATATCCTATGTATCATCGGCGTGTGCGGCTTATTCGCGGGGCAGGTCCGTGTTTCTCTCCCCGCAGGAAGTGACGTCAGGGACAGCAGTGGGGAGACCCGAGGACCAGCCTTGGCCATGGCCCTGTCCCCGAGGCTTGGAGAGAGCCTGTCTCCTGCTGCCCTGAGCAGGATTTTGGAAGGGTTTGGGGCCCTGGGCCTCCCAGCAGGGAACACGTAATGGGCCGGTCATTGCTACCCACCTTCATCTTCCTGGTGCTCAGGGCCACAGGAGGCGCGTGGATGCCGCTGTTAGACTTGACCTCAGAGCACTGAGCTCATGGGCAGGCCCTGCTTGGCCGAGGGAGGCAGAGAAGGGTAGCCAGTTACCACCAGGAGGTTCCAGTGCCTCTGGCCTTGGCCTTGACTTAGGGCTTCACCGCTCAGTGGGTGGGGTCCTTACTTTGGAGGAGCAGGGGGTGGCTTTCCCGTCACTTCTGAGTCATTCCATGGCCCCATGCTGTCCCCAGAGTCTAATGGAGAGCAGTGTGGCCCCGAGCAGCCAGGCACGATTGTTCCTGGTGGCACAGTTAGGAGGAGCTCCGAGGGCATGTCCCTGTGGGATATGGGGGGCTGGGAGGCCCCCCAGCAGCTGTACCTGCTCCCTCCCCCATCTCTCCAGCCAATAGCCGCTGACAGCCCTTTGCGCGCAGGTGGTCCAGCTGACGTGGTGGGCCGTGTGCCGGGACTCCGTGTACTACACCCTCTCCGTCATCGTGCTCATCGCCGTGAGTGCCCTCCCCCTGAAGTCGCAGGCCCTCCCCCATCTCCGTCCCTGGCCCTGTGACCAGAGGACCCCGGCCCCCAGGCCCTGCGGTCGCTTTGACCAGTTGCTTTGCCTGTGCCCACTTGTCCCCAGAATCTCAGACACCTTACGACCGGAGCAAATCCAGGGACGACCTTGAGGGCAAAAAGGCCTCTGCAGAGCTAAGCATGCTGCATGATCCACGCGGTTCCCTTCACATATCTCCTCTGAGGCCTGGGGACCCTCACGCAGAGCCTGTTTCCTAAGGAGCCGAGTTCCGGGGTCACCCTCACTGCCGAGCAGAGCAGAGACACAGCTGGGAGCTGTCAGAGTTGGCAGCGGGATGGGTGGTGTGAGGCAGTGGGGGAGGGGGAACGCAGGACGGGTAGGCAAAGGAGATGAAATAGGAATCCCAGGGGCTTGCTGGTATGTGTGAGGGTATCCCTGTGTCCCCCTCTCCCCTCAGGGCTTGAGGTCACATCATGGCACATGACGTGAAGCACATGACACACAGTCAGGCTACTGTTCAAGAGTGTGTCACCCACAGGGAAGCAATTTCGATCCAAAAGGAGTTTTAGGTTGTATTCAGAGAGGGCAGATGGCATGGTGTGCCCAGTTGTTAGGGCATGCGCCCTAGAGTGACAGTTCTCAACCTCACAAGACCTAGCGCCTGCTGTGTGTGATAGTCCATTATCTGTCACTGTGTGCGAAATTTCCCCAAAACTCAGTGGCTTAAAGCAACAGGCGCTTAATACTCCCATTTCTGTGGATTGAATTCTGGAGGGGAGTCTTCTGGCTTAGGCTGTCCCACAGGTATCCTCAGGGGCTTAGTCACCTCAAAGACCCCTGCCCCCAAACCCGCATGAGAACCCACCCCCAGGGCTTTCAGAGTGAGGCAGGAGGAGCCAGGATGGAAGCCACAGTGTGTGTGACTTAATCCCCGGAGTGGCCGCCCATCGCTGTTTCTTAGGGGCAAGTCCTAGTCCAGGCTTTGTACACAAGGGGAGTGTGAAGTCAGGCGGGGGTCATTGGGGCCATCCGAGAGGCTGCCTCTCGCACCCTGGAAAATGAGTTCTAGATAAAATAATTCACCTGCACGAAATGAACAAAAACCAGCCTTGGCCTGTGTGGGTCAGTTGCTTGAGCGTCGTTCTGTGCTCCAAAAAATTGCTGGTTTTGTCAAAGCACATGCCTGGGTTGGGGGTGCATAGGGGAGGCAGGCCACTGATCAATATTCCCCTCTCCTATTGATGTTTCTCTCCCTCTCCTTTCCTCTCTCTCTAAAATCAATACAAATACATATATTTTTTAAAAACCATTAACGCCTAAACAATACAAAAAGGACACGTAAAAGTGATTTATAACAAAAGAATACATCTTTCAGTGCTTAAAGGTTTGGGCAGGAACCTGCTAGAACATGCCATGATATAATCTGCTGCTCACCCCCACCCCTACCCCCCACCATGATCAGCAGCCTGACAACTCTTAGCTCAGACCTAGGCCCTTGTGCCGGGCTGGCCCTTAAACCTGAGTGGTGCTGACATGATTTCCCAAAATGATGAGCGACTCCCGATAAAATCCTAAAAGAGCCAAGTGCAATTTCTCCCCATAGCATGACAGTTGCCTCACTAGAAAATTAAGTATTTTTCCTAAACCAAAAAACAACACCTACAGTCTAGGCTCCCGATATTTTATCTGTTTTTGTCATTTACCTGAATATTTAGCAGGATGCTTAACACTTGTGCCAAATGTGAGAAACTCTAATAGAACCATCTCACGCATTCCAGGCTGGCCAGCAGCCCGGCTTTCACTGCCTCTGAAAGCCAGGGGCCCTCCATGGGGTTGTAAAACCCAAAAATAGCTCCATAAGGGTCCCGAAGTATCCCCAGGTGGAGTGCCACTTTCTCAGAGCCTAGAGTTCGGGGAGACTCCAGCGATGCCCGGTCAGGATGACCTTCTCAGAAGCAGCACCTCCAAAGCAGTTCCTGTGTGTGCCTGCCCACATGACAGCCGGGAGGGGGTGCAGTGGGCCTGGGTTCAGACAGAAGCCCCTGGCCTCTGCTGGGGTCCCTGTGTCTCCAGGATCCAATTGGGGGAGGGTGTAGCCCCTCCAACAACCTATCCCCCTTGGGCGTGGCTCGGGTGCTCCCAGGCCACTGATCGATATTCCTCTCCCACATTGATGTTTCTCTCTCCCCCTCTCCCTTCCAGTGATAGATAACTAAAATCCTCCTCTGGACCACATGTCAAAGATGCAGGGTGGGGTTATCGGGCCATGTCAGTGCCCGATTAGGAAAGCATGGAGTCCTCCACCATGGCCCCCTGCCTCCCTTCAAACAGTACAAATGGGTCTTATGCCCCCCAGAAGTTCCAAAGGGTTTACTCTTTATTTTTATGAAAATAACACCCCTTCTTTCCTATACACGTAGGCACCATAGGTAAGTAAGTAAATAAGCAGGCAGATAAGTAGGCAGGTAGGGTGGATGGTTGGGTGGATGGATGGATGGATGGATGGATGGATGGATGGATGGATGGATAGGTGGATGGATGGATAGGTGGATAGATGGGTACGTGGATGGATGGATGGATGGGTGGGTGGGTGGGTGGATGGGTGGGTGGATGGATGGATGGATGGATGGATGGATGGATGGATAGGTGGGTGGGTGGGTGGATGGGTGGGTGGATGGATGGATGGATGGATGGATGGATGGATGGATAGGTGGATGGATGGATGGGTGGATGGATGGATGGATGGATGGATAGGTGGATAGATGGGTGGATGGATGGATGGATGGATAGGTGGATAGATGGGTGCGTGGATGGATGGATGGATGGGTGGGTGGGTGGGTGGATGGGTGGGTGGATGGATGGATGGATGGATGGATAGGTGGATGGATGGATAGGTGGATAGATGGGTGCATGGATAGATGGATGGATGGATGGATGGATGGATGGATGGATGGGTGGATGGATGAATGGATGGATGGATGTCTTCAGTTTTTAAGATTTGTGATTGCAGCAACTCTGTTCCATTAGTGAGGGCCGGTCCCTGCCAGGTTGGTCCCAGCCGCTAGTCGGACCACAATGAAGCACAAGCCATTTCTCGGAGAGGCCCCCCGCTCTGCGGGCTGTAGGTTGCCTCACCTGCTGACCCGGGTTTCACCGAAGGCCAGGTCACCTGGAGGTGGGGAGTCCGGAATGGAGAGAGGGGCCCGGCTTTCTGTGGAAGCACAGAGGTGTGGCCGCTCTGGGTGCTGCCAGGCCTGTGTTTGGTTTTTGTTTTTCTGTTGTTTTTTTGAGTAAATATGTTTTCCTCCTTTTGTTTCTTTTGCCTTCCAGTTCATATATGATGAAGAAATTGTGTGGTAAGTTTTTAAAATTTGTTTCTCCTTCGGTTTTGTTAGTGTCTTCTTGGGTGTGTTGGATCTTCTTCAGAATTATTTTTACAAACATGGGCTTCTGAACTTGTAAAAATAAAAAGGGTATGATTCTAAGCAGTCACGCCTTAATTTGTCCTTTCAAAGTGACAAACATGGTTTCCCTTACTATTCCCATCCTACCAGATACCAAGATATGCACTGAGTGGCCAGATTGTGATGATCTCTGAACGCATCATAATCTGGCCACTCAGTGTACTTCTCTTGAGTACCTCGTTTATTTGATATCAAAGATACTATATATCGTGCACTTGATCAGTTTTCCCCTTTGCACTGGCTGATAGAAAGCTCAGGGCAGCCGAAGCCGGTTTGGCTCAGTGGTAGAGCGTCGGTCTGCGGACTGAAAGGTTCCAGGTTTGATTCTGGTCAAGGGCATGTACCTTGGTTGCGGGCACATCCCTGGTAGGGGGTGTGCAAGAGGCAGCTGGTCGATGTTTCTCTCTCATCGACATTTCTAGCTCTCTATCTCTCTCCCTTTCTCTCTGTTAAAAATCAATAAAATATATTTTTTTTAAAAAAAAAGAAAGAAAGAAAGAAAGAAAGAAAGAAAGAAAGAAAGCAAGCAAGCTCAGGGCAAATAGGTGGTTGATCTCCAGCAAAAGTCTAGAATACATTTGGTACCCATTGGAGATACAAATATACTCAGTGACCAGATGATTATGCATGCAGAGATCATAATCATCTGGCCACTCAATGAAGGATAAAGCTAACGTGATTCAAATGGTGCAATGTTTTGCACAGGGAGAAGCATAGGCCAGTGTGGAGCCTGGAACCGAGAGCCCATTGGTAGGCCCACTTCTGGGCGCGGGGATATGGCAGGTGTCATGTGTGACAAGGCAGCGAGTTGGGGAGGGGGGGCTCAGCTGCTGCTGGGACCACCAGGAATCCACACAAAACAAGGTACCGTCAGCTCTGTCCCTCACACCTTATACATTCCTGGGGAGCGAAAATCCTCGCTGTAAGAAGCAACATTAAAATAAACATAGAATAAAACATGGGGACTCACCTTTATGACTTTATGGCGGGAATGAGTCCTTCACTAAGATCGTACGGCGCAGACTTTAAAGAAAAGGTGGATGTGTGCACTCTCTGGAGCGTGACTGTATCTTCCCTTCGTATAAACCACAGTGTCCCCTGCATGACAGTCAGAATCTGCACCCTGTGAGTGACTATTTGGGGTTATATTCAGGAGGCCTGATGGGAGGGGCTGTGTACTGTGGGCTCAGGGAGGCCTGGTGCTGGCCCCGCCTGCCCCCTAACCTGCCCGGTGACCTAGGAACCTCTCCACCCCCCAGTCTCCTTTTCCTCACCTGTGGATGGAGTTGGGGGTGGGGGCCAGATCACCTTCCAGTCCCTTTGTGGCTCTGCTGGTCCTTGGTCCTTGTCAGCCAAGGAAGCGCTCCCAACGCGATGATCGCCCATACAGGGCACATGTGTCAGGTGGACGAACACACTAAAGCTGTGTGGCTCCTCAGAGGCCTGCGGTCAGAAACCCCACGGTGCCCAGAGCTGGGCACTGCACATGCAACACAGCGGTAATCTCATTGTCTCGGGAAGACGCTGCCCTACTGTGCACCCAGGAGGTCCCGTGCCCCAGCCCTCGGGGCCCCTTCCCGTCTGCACCCACAGCTTCTCTGCTCCGTGGCCAGAATCTCAGGTGATCCCGGGGCCTCTTTATATCAGGCCTAGGGGACACCTGGCCCCTCCCCTTCGAGTCCTGGGAGGTGGTGGCCCTGGCCCTCCTTGTTCTGGTAGCGGGGGGCCTCCCGCGGAGCCCTGCAGACCCTCTGGAGCTGAGAGGACCCCACTCTCAGCCTTCCCTCTGTGTCACCCCGACAATGTTAGTGTGCGGGCCCGCCAGGCTGGGCTCACACCTGCATGCCTGGGTCCCGGGTCCCCGGCCAGGCGCTGGGCACGGGGAAGGAAGACACTGCCTCGCCCTCTGCACGGCCTCACCCCGCCCTCAGCGCGGGCCTTCCCCGCTCTAACCACGCCTTCTTTCTCTCTTCGAGGTGGGAAGGCCTGGTGCTCATCATGTTGTACGTGTTTTACATTCTGATCATGAAGTAAGTGCCTTTCTCTTCTTCTGGGCTTGCAAATGTGCAGTGAAAGGAGCCCGTCCCAAAGGGACAAGTCTTGTCTGATGCCGTGAGATGAGGTGCTGAGCAGAGTCACACTCAGAGGCAGAGAGCGAGGGAGAGAGGGCGAGCGAGGAGGAAGGGCGGTCAGCCATGAGTGGGTTGGTGGGCGAGGCGTTCTGGTTGGGACGCTGAAGAAGTCATAGAAGTAGCGGTGATGATTTCCCATCGTAAGTGTAATTAATGCCACTGAATTGTGTGCCTCGAAATGGAAAATCACTAAAGCAGAGCGTTTTATGTTGTTTCTCCCCATTTAAAAAAGAAAAAAGTACCCATGAGGTGAGCCATATGCAGGTTTTATCTTGTTTATATCTCTGCAGTTAGTTAAAAAAACAACACTGAGTTTTAGGAGGCTATGAATCAAAATGCTTTATAAAATGGGTGGTAGACACTCAGAGAATTGCCCCACAATGATGCCCTCTCTGAGTGCCTCTCAGCCAGGGGGCGGCCTGGGTGTGGCCCGGGGTGCTGATTGTCAGCGACATGGGGAGACCCAAAGACTTAGTCCCCTGGGGGAGGGGGGTAACCGTGGGGGGGAGGGTCCCTGCCAGGTCTCTCCCACAGCGCTGACCTCCTCCTGCCTTCACTTCCAGGTACAATGTGAAGATACAGGCCTTCTTCACGGTCAAACAAAAGACCATTGCAAACGGCAACACGGTCAGCAGCGAGCTGGAGGATGGTAATGATTACTGTGGTAGTAGCTCTGATGACCCTTCCCTGCCATTGCTGGGGTCAGGTAAGGCTGAGCAGACAGGAGCGGCCATGTCGTAACACCACGGTTCTTTCTCCTCCTACACACATACCCTCCCTCTAAATTCCACTCTCCCACCTGTGGTCACAGGACCCTGAGGGAGGGGGTCAGTGACGGAGATGCTGCTGATTGGCATTTGCTTAAAATGGAAGAGCATGTCCATGGTCACATCCCTGGCAGTTCCCGGGGCCATGCTAGGAGAACCCAGGGCCTGCCTGGCTCGTCCGAGATGCAGGGACTCACGCCTCTATCCCATGTGGTAGGCCAGTGATGGGAAGCTGAGAGCTTGGGGTACACAGAGCAGGCCTGGGTCCCCCGAAGTTTCTCAAGGCCCGGGTCTGGAGGACTGTTCTGGAGAGACCTCTGACTCGTTGCCCAGAGGAACAGCAAGGCCAGGGCAGGCGGGCACGGCGCTGAGCAGGAATTCCCGGTCCGTCCCAGAAAGCCTGCCCGGGCCCTTCCCAGGGGCTGCAGCCCGGCCTCCGCAGCTTCTCTTTGGTCCCCTGGTCTGGGCGTTCTGGCCTCTGGAGCTGGCCCGTGTCCTCTCTTGCCAGTTCTCCTAATTGCCTCCTGACCACTGGCTGCTGTAAAAGCCTTGTCTTCAGCCAGCCGGTTACCAGGTGGGGCAGCTGCCAGCAGGGGCGGGAATTCACTCCCTTCCTCACTCAAAGCCAGGGTTCAGCCTGAGCGGGTTGTTATGGAAAAACAGGACTTGGCCCTTCCCTCGAGTTCCACCCCGTGGAGCTGGTGAAGCTGAGAGGCGGGACTGGCCCCCTGAGGGGTCTCTTCCCTTCTGCCCGGGCCCGGGCAGGTCGGTCCTCTTTGAGGCCACTCTAATTCAGTGGCGGGACCAGGCGGTCTGGAGGAGGCTGTTTGCCTGCGCCTGGCATGTGGGGCCAAAGTCCATACCCCTTGGCCCCTCCGAAGTCTCCTCCCGGGGGCGGGTCAGGCTCATGCAGCCTCCCGTGGGCACCTCGGGCAAGGGCAGAGCTCTGTCCATTGCCAGTCCTGAGGGCCGACTCTCTCCAGCAGAAGGAGGAAGCCTCCAGAGACCCCTGTGAGCCACAGTTAAGGCGACCTGCAAGGCCGGGCTGTGTCCAGTCCCGGCTCCCCGTGCCCTGCCCCAGGGGAGAGCCATTTGCAGGGCAACCCCTCAGCAGGCAAGGGAACTGTGGGACTGCTATTTGGGACTTTAGCTCCACAAACAGTGGCTGCCAGGTCCCCACACAGTCCCTCAGGACAGGCTGATTCCTGTCCGGGACACAGTGTCCTTCATGGCAGAGAGAGAGAGATTCCAAGGGGTGAGTCAGCGCAGGCTGGTAGGAAATGCCCGCTTCCTCAGTGCCCGCCCAAGAGCTACCTACTGCCCGTGTGACTGGCGGAGGAGGCCCATCCCCAGGGCCCTGGGTTTTCTAAAACATGTACGAATGTTTCACGTCACATGTCATTGCTGCTCAAGACAGCAGAGCCCAGGACAGCAAGCAAAGGTCCCCAGGACCGAGGCGAGGAGGCCGCGTGGTCTGCCCCTGCTGGGAGCACAGCCTGTCTCGCTGGTCTCGGGGTCCTGCTCACAGCCTGCCAGCCAGTGCCACCCTGACCGCTGGCTGGGCTCCCCGTGGACCTCGCCGGCCTGCCCCGGCCAGGGACTCAGCATGGGCGTGGAGCAGGGAGGGGGGGGGGCGCTGCCTGGCCTTGGCTGAACTGCCAGAGCCACTCTGCAATCCCGTTACCTTCTGGGCAGCCCCCCTGGGCTTGGAAGCACCACCCTGTGTGCCAGTTGGTGGCAGCACCAGGTCATGGTACCCAGGGCGTCAGGTGTCACACTCTGTAGGCTCCGTCACTGGGACGGAGCCCGGGACAGGGTTGGCTCTGTGGCTCTGCAGTTCCGCCTCCCTCTGCGATAGAGGCAGGGTCCGGAGCAGGGGGGTTTGGGCTTTCCTGCCGCACAGAAGGGCAGTGAGCACGGGGCCTCCTACTCCTGAGAGTGGGACGGAGTCATGGGATTCAGCCAGGAGAGGGGCCGCCCCGAAGGCCCGAGGCCCCGAGCACTGAGATCCCCGTGGCAGCAGCCCCTCGACTAACCCTCCCGCCCATAACCCCGGCACCTTGGCCGCCATCGAGGACGCTGCCCCAGGCTCTCGGCATCCTCCTCCGCACGCTCCTCGCCTCTGGCAATCCCTGCCGGCCTCTGTCTCCTCCCCGCTTCTCTTCTAAATTGTAAGTAACCCGCTTCCCCCTGAGCAGTAACACGCGTGTTCAGAGCCCACGCGCCGGCCCAGCACACGCCTCGCCGGAGGGCGCTGTCCGTCTCCGACAGAGGCCTGGCCCCCGGCTCTGTCTCTAACCCCCACGCCTCCTGTCTGCTGAGCCTTGCTGCTGTCGGGTGAGGGTGCGTGTCTCGTGTGCGTCTGTGCCTGTTTGTGCCACTAACTCGCTCCTGTGGGGTCACCCCGACCACTCCTGCTTTCCCCGTCCCCGGGGAGGGACACTGGGGGGGCCGGGGGCCCATGCAGAGGGGCAGGCCTGGCTGCGGTGACAGCCCCTGGGAGGGAACTGCCTGCTCTGTGTGCTGTGCTAGTGCTAACGAGGGGTCCTGTCACCGGGGCCCCCGGGGCTCCATGTTAGATGTCAATCCCCCACCCCCAGGACTCCAGCCCTGAGCGTGTGCAGGGAGGCGGCGGGGAGAGGGCTTTGGCCTCATGAGGAGAAGAATGGGGTCAGAGACACCGGCCTCCGGATTGGAGGGTGGCAGGTTCACCAGAGATGCCGGGCTCAGCCAGCAGCCCTCCCTGGGCCCGCAGCAGGCAGCGCCACCCCCTCCCAGTCTCAGTCGCCTCATCCAGGGCCCGTGCTTGGCCCTGGCTGCCTCCCTCCAGGGGAATACAGTTGGAAGCATCCTTGTGTGCCGGGAGGAGGTGGTCCCTCAGAGACAGAGCAGGTGGCCTCGTGAGAAGCTTAGAGCCAGTGTTCTCCTGTGCTTTCCAGACTGTTCCATCCCAGGGGTTCCCTGGAGCCTCTGTCATCAGGAGAAAGCAAGGCCCCCACAGTCACAGGCTCAGAGGAGGAGCGGGAAGACCCTTGCCGTTAGCCACCTTGGGTCCCAGTAGAGAGGGGGCACAGGATCTGATGGGGAGCCATCTAAGGCAGGCAGAAGAGGGGGCATCGATCGGCAGGGGGGCTGGAGGCGGAGGCCTGCCCAGGAGAGGGCATGTAGTGGGGCCACCGCGGGGCTATGCCTCATTCTTCAAGGTGGAAGGTGGTTCAGCGCCACTGGCCCCTTGACTGGAGAGAGGATCTCCCAGGCCAAGGCCAGCAGCCAGGACCTCAGCCCGAGACAGAAGTCTGCGCCAGAGGGACAGGCGGTCGGCTGCCCCAGCACTTAGGGGTGTCCCCGGGCGGGGGGCCTCAGCAGTAATCCTGGCCTCGTGCTCGTCACAGTGAAGGAGGAGCCGCGGTACAGCAAAAGCCCGGTGGTGATGGTGGACGAGGTCCTGAGCTCCAGCCCGCCCAAGTTCAGCTTCCCCGAGGCGGGCCTGCGCGTCATGATCACCAACAAGTTTGGGCCCCGGACCCGGCTGCGGATGGCCAGCAGGATCATCATCAACGAGGTGCGCTCGCGTGAGGACCGAGAGGGCGGGCGGCCGCGGGGGAGACACGTGCGATGGCGCTTCCTGGTGTCGGGCCCCCGGGGCATCCTCTGCCAGGCTGGCATGTGGCACCGTACCTGGGCACCTGGGTGAGGGAGGAAGCCCGGACATCACCCCAGGAGCAAAGGATCTGGGAGGGAGGGAATGCGAGGCAAGCAGCAATCCCTACGTCCAGATGTTTGACCAAGTGTTTGTCAAGCACTAGAGTGAAACTAACAGGAGAAAGGCCAATCTGACTTATGGCTTGTTTCTTGAAGATGTTATTGAGGGAGGGAGGATGGAAGGGATGGAAGGGATGGAAGGGATGGAAGGGATGGAGGGAGAGAGAGAAAGAGAGAGAGAGAGAGAGAGAGAGAGAGAGAGAGAGAGAGAGAGAGAGAGAGAGAGAGAGAGATTGAGCAAAATACCTAGCTGTTCTGTATGCATATGGGGCACTGGTGGGCAGCAGCTACCTCTGGGACTTCTTTTGTCCTGTGACTGTCTTCAGGTAGCTGGCGAGTGACCACCAGGGAGCCAGCGCAATCCCTGTCCTCAGTGTCATGGGCACCGAGGAGAGGCCAGGCCTCTGGCCGTTCCGGAAAGGCTGGCTAGTGTTGGTCCAAAAGGAAATGAGCGAACTTGGGTGGATTCGAAGCCCTTGGGTCACCCACCGGCCAACCCATCCCAGGGCTGAGTTCTAGAAACCTCTGAGGGCTGTGTGCATGTTAAGCAGCCGTCTAACACAGTCACCAATTGCTTGTCTTGCCCCCCGTCCGCACAGAGGCAGAGACTGATCAACTCGGCCAACGGGGTGAGCAGAAAGCCCCTTCAGAACGGGAGGCAAGAAAGCATCAAGAACGGGAATGTTCCCACGGAGAACCCAGAGGACCCCCCGAGGGAGCAGCAGCCCCCGCCCCCGCCGCCGCCCCCAGAGGCAGAGCCCGTGGAGGCCGTGTTCCTGACCCCGTTCTCCGTGCCCGGTGAGTACGCAGGGCGCGAGGCCCTCGGCCGTGCTGTCCGGGTTCCTGCCAGGACACCCCTGCCCCCGGCTCTGCCACGTGCTTTATGTTGAAAACAGAGGCTCTGTGTGGGATCCAGGGCTTCCTGGGGGTCTCTGGATTGGCGCCTCCGGGGCATGCTGGTCACCCCTACCCAGGATCTCCCCGAAATTCAGGGCCTGGTTCCCAAACCAAAACCAGCATCCTGGAGGGAGGCCTGGGACTCGGCATGCCAAGCCCTCTCTGTGCACCCTGGGACTGGGCAGGCATCTCCCAGCCTCCTCTCACCTGGAGGCCACACCCAGAGAGTGACATGTGTCTCCTCCCTCAGGCTGCAGGGGGCCCAGCACAGGGGTTTGGGCCCCCAAGACCTCCCTCTGCTGACCGGGGACTGAGAGGATCGAGGTGGGTCTCAGCCCTCACCTCACACCGCCCGCACATCAGCGCACCTGCTGGGACCCTGTGGGAGCACAGGGCATGCGCAGCCAGCTGGTCTGGTGGGCTAACGGTCCCCCTGTGGTCAGTGGGAGCTTGGTTTGGGGTCTGGACACTGAGAGAAAGGGTGTGATCTTCTCTACACCCCAGGAATGTATATGAGATTACCTGTTGGACACATGAGCAGGATCCTGGGGCAGGGACTGGACTGGCCCTCCTCATGTTTTTTAACTTCCGCATTCATAAGAGGACCACGGCCCTGGGTACCCCACATAGCCCCGAGCCACCGCGTGCCCAGCACAGGGACTCTGGTCACAGAAGGGCCTCCAGTTCCGCGGGCCTGGAGCCCAGATGCCAGGGAGGGCCATGCGTGGCTGCAGCCACTGTCCACGACTGAGCGGCGCTGGCCCCGGGGGGACCGGGGACCTCCCGTTCTTGAGTTGTGTCCTCCAGCCCCAGGAGGTGGGTCGCGGGGCTCCATTTTACAGACGAGGAGCCTAATGGGGCCTTAGCCACCACCCTCCATGGGCCACTTCATCTGAGTCCTGGTCCTGAGGCTGCCCCCCGTCCAGGGCTCTGCAGGGACCCGGCGAAGGGACATACCCGTGGCTGCTCTGACCCTGCAGAGTGAGGTGTTCACCTGTGAGGCCCACACGTCTCCACTTCCTCGAAACCTCGGTGGTGGATTGGATGGGTTGGACCCAGGGCCAGCCGCCCCTTCCCTTTGCCCCAGGATTTGGTGCTTCTCCCAGAAGCTGTGATGGGAAATCAGATCTGGCTCCTCGAGGGGACCCTGGGCGGGTCCCCTCCTGGGGTGGGTGCTTAGAACGCTGCTGTCTTCCTAGAGCTGGGACCAGGAGCTCCCAGGGCCTCTGCACCCTGAGGCCCTCTGCTGCCTTCCTGGCGGGCTGGGGCTTCCGTTGCTGTGGGTCCACCTTCCCCCTCAGGCCAGAGGCTCCAGGACATTCCTGGGCCAGCTCATAACGGCTCGTAACGGAACTGCGAGCTCCTGCCCAGTGTGGTCCCTGCGGAAAGCTCCCTTTGTGCCCCTGACGGATGTGTTTCCAGCGGTTGCCCTTGGAAACCAGGAGTCACTTCCTCCCCGTCTTCCCCTCCTGGCCATGAGAAGCGGGGAGGGGGTGGGGAGAGAGGACAGGCGTGGCTGCTGCTTTAGGCGCACTCCCATCAAACCCTCGCAGCTCCCTTGTGGGAAACTGAGGCTCAGAGGGGCTGTGAGACTTCCTGAGTCACACTGACACTAGGTGGGCAGCCTCTCTCCCACCCTGAGCCTCCCGAGCTGTGAACGCCAGCACGGATTGGCCCACAGCGGTCACAGAAGGGGCATTCGAATGGCCTTAGTGGTCACAGAGGGATCCGGCAAATGGCAGATATGTGCCCCGAACCTACAATATAGTTCAGCCCACTTCAAGGGAGAACCTGGGGTGAATGTGTCTTTTTCAAAAGTGCAGGCCCTTGGAGGTTCTTGAACAGCAACGGGGGATAAAAACCCACTGAGGACTTCCTGCGGACCAGGCAGGGTGCCTCCCTGGTATCAACTCACATGTTCTCCTGACGGCTTAGAAGGTGGCTGCTGTCACCATGATGCCACTCCCCAGGGGAAGAGACTCAGGCACAGAGAGGTCTAGCCTGCCCAGGGTCACCCAGGAGGAGGGGTCAAAGCTGGGGTTTGCACACTGACACTCTGACCCCAGGTGTGCCGAGGGGACAACATTTCACCAACCAATGGATGCTCCCGGCTCCTTTCCTTCAGAGCCCCCGGCGAAGTGCTTGCCTCCGTGCTGGCTTGTACACTTTGTTTGGGAACCGTGTGGAACTGAGTTGGATGATGGGCCCTTGGGACCTCACGTGCTCTTGCCAGAGCTTGGATGGCAGCCCTACATCTTGTCTTCCTTCGTTATAATAAAACTCAGCGCGGGCAATTGGAAATTTCCGGCGTTTTAGGGCCTTTTCCTCTCACCCCACCCTCACGATCCTCCGTTCTGCAAAGCACCTGGCTGGGGAGAGCAAGGTCTGTTTCGTGTCTCTGAACCCCGGGAGGGGGAACTACACAGATGGAACTCTAGAAAACTCCATGCACCGGGCCTTTCCTCTCGGCCCCTCAGCACATGGGGAGAAACAGGAGAACCTGCAGGTGCTGTGGGCTCATTTCCACATGAAATGCCACACGCAGTCTCTGCCTGACCCAAGCCCCCAGAGACACACGGCGCTTGGTGGTGGAAGTGACCTTGTTCTGGAAGCCGTCGGAGTAATTGCACGTGTGGTCAGTTGGCTCCTAAGTCAAGGTCATGGTTTCAAGGACGCACCCTTGTGAATCGGTCACTGTGGCTCGCTGAGGTGCCAGCCTGATTAGAACAGCCGTTGGCTGAGTGTTTTTATTGGTGAATGGCAGCTTCATGGAGATACAGTCCACCTGCCACAGAGCCATAGCTTTAAGGTATTCCATGGAGGGGTTTTCACAAGGTCCTGTGTTCACGAAGTTGTGCAACCATCACCACAATCCATTTCAGAATGTTCCGCCCCCAAAAGAAACCCTCTACCCATTAGCAATTATTCCCAATCCCATCTCCTGGCAACCACTGAGCTACTTTCTGTCTCTTTAGATTTATCAGTTCTGGGTATTTCATATAAATGGAATCGTTCAACATATGGCCTTTCATGACTGGCTGCTACTTAGCAGGATGTTTGCAAGGTTTATCCGTGTTATAGTATATATCAGTGCTTCGTTCCTTTGTATGGCTGAATAATATATCTACCCATCGGTTCATGGAAATTTGGGTTCTTTCCACTTTCTGGCTAGAAGTGGTTTGTAAAAACAGCTAATAGAGCCCAGTGGAGAAAGAGGCTCAATATATTTATATTTTTCATCTAAAAGAAAACCATTTTCCTCTGAGTTCCTTGTGGTTAGCAACAGTCTCTGAAGACTAAGATTCAAAGGGATCTTAGACCAGACATTTTATATTCCAAAGTGGGAAACTGAGGCCCAAAGAGAGGCGGGGGCTTGCCCAAGGGGCAGTCTCAACAACTAGACAGAACCAGGTACCTGGCCACCTGCCCTGGGATCCACTCTGCGGTGGCCCCGCAGTCAGGCCAGAGCAGTGCAGGCTGGGAGGTGGGAGGTGAAGGGCCCAGGACTCCCATGCCGTGGACATGAGCTGGGTCCTGAAGCCTTCTCACCTGCCAACAACAGGAGCCCACACAGGCCGCCTTGAGCTAAAGAGGAACCTTTTCAAAAATACAGTTATATCCCTATCCAGTTTGGCTCAGTGGATAGAGTGTCGGCCTGCAGACTGAAGGGTCCCAGGTTCAATCCCGGTCAAGGGCATGTACCTTGGTTGCGGGCACATCCCCAGTAGAGGGTGTGCAAGAGGCAGCTGATCGATGTTTCTCTCTCATTGATATTTCTAACTCTATTCCTCTCTCTTCCTCTCTGTAAAGAAAACGCAATAAAAAATTTAAAAAACAAAAACGAAAATACGGTTATAGGGGAGTGTTAGAGTCCCAAGAGCAGGGAGGCAGTTGGACTTGCTGAGGGCTGATTCGAGGCCTCAGTGAGTGTCGAGCCTCTTCCTGGCTCTTCATTTCTCCATCCGTGCCTGTCTCATCTGTTCCTTGGCTACAGACTTGCTGCAAATTCATGGTTGGGCCAGATGGCAGACGGGCCTCCACTGGCCCCAGACCGATGCATGACGGCTCCCACCTCCTAGCAGCTCCCTGGTACCATATTACATGTGAGGTCCAGAGCCCCGAGAGAGAAAATGCCATCAAACCAGACATCAGGTGTCCACCCCGGGCACTCAGCTGTGCTGGCCATTTGGCTCTGGTGGCCATTGAGAGTGTGGTTCTGAGGGAAGGGGCACTGAGCGCGCGCACGCGCGCGCGCGCGCGCGCGCACACACACACACACACACACACACACGCCTCTAGCGTTATTGGAAGATGAAGGATGCAGCCCATCTCAGATGCAGGAAAGTTCAAGTACAGGGGCATGGGTGCCTTACACAGTCATGGGAAGGGCACTGTAATGTCGGCACTGGAGTGGCACTGCCGCCTTGCTATGATAGAACAAGGGGGCAGGGAGCCAGAATGCATCAGAACTGTTGAGTTCAAGAGCTCAGCACCAGAGCTGTGAGCTGGGACGAGGAGGCCTCTGCCACAGCTGTGTCTTGACTCCCATAGCAACATGAGCTAGACACTGGGATGCTAGTCAGGCCTTCGGGATGGTCTAGTGCTTGGACATGGATGTCCCGATTTAACCAGAATGCATCTGAAGCGGCAGAGAGGTAGCCAGGCCCTACCTCAATTCTCCTCTTCAAATCGGGGAATCTATTATGAATCTTGAACTTCAGCTGCAAGGCATTCTGGGAAATGCCTCTGCAGACACCAGTGAAGAAGGTTGGAATGAGACTGCTGAAGGCCAGCTCAGCATGTCCACTTCCATGCTGTCGTGCAGCCTGGAGAAAAGCAATAACATTCTGCTTTCAGTTAAGTCTTAACAGATGACTTACCTTAGAGCAAACCTGGTCAGG